CTGTTAATCTTCTTTCTTCTGTGATTTCTGACATTCTGTCTGTTTATCTTTGCAAAGCGACATCAGCTGCTTCAGAGTCACCTTCCTGAATTCAGATCCTTTTCTCAGGCGTATAAAACTTCTGAGCGAAGCACTGAGTGGAGAAATGTTGGCTCTCTGTGGAATGTCTGCTGCAGCCTGAAGAGCAGAACAGATCTGGAGGATCAGCTGCTGCTGCTGATCTCATCACTTAGACCTAGTCTTTCTAGAGCCACTGCCTCAGTGTCGGTCAGGCGCTTTCTGCGGGCAGTCTCTGAGAAGAAGCGGGACCTTCCACAGCCCAGATGTTATTCTATAACCTGGTTCATTAGAGACACATTCAGCCGCTTACTTTGACTAGACCAACCAAAGGAACAGGAGAGCAGAGCAGATTACTGGACTAATGTGAATTCAGCTCTGCTCACATTCAGCAGCCTGCTGCTGATGAGGGGGAGGAGGAGGAGGGGACAGCTGGGCTTTGCTGTAAGTGTCTGCCCTTCTAATGGTTTCCATGGAGCCCAGTCTGTTGCTGGCACATGTCCCTAAAGGAATCTGTGGGAATGAACCAGGGAAGGCAGACTTTTTTTCTCGACTCACCATGACCTGAGAATGTGAGGAGGAAATGTTTAGTCAGGTGGTACCTCCATGTTGGAGGCACAGCCGGTGTAAGTCCAGCCTCCTAGAGGAGGCGCCGCCCTGCCGCTCCCAGCGGAGCAGTCAGACATCCACCACCAACAGATTAATGACTCCGCTACTCGCCATGCAGGCTGAGACAGAGATCCCTCCTGCTGCTGCCCACAGATTTCAGTGGATCATTGGAAATAAAAGTTGGTTCTTCCGCAGTGGCGTCATGATGCCTAATATTTAAACCTCCGGACTAGTTCGTTCTCTCCGATGAGCGGCGGACGCCTTATATGACCAGAGCTTACTGATGGTTTGCTGTCCTGCAGAAAGACTCTGTTTTCCAAACACTTCCAAGTTAATTAAGTTTTGATAGGTCGTTAACACTGAATCAGGGTGTGAGGTTCAACATACTGTTTCCATTTGATCACTGACGCACTTTATGGAATGGAAATGTTCATTTACTGTCTGAAAAGCTGTACTAAAGGAAATTTTGTTTTGTCTAAACTCTATTTATACAGAATTACAATAAAAGCTGTCTAAGCTGTTCACCTACTCCTGACGGCTAAATGACTCGTTTGGGGACAACAACGTCCATATTCTGGCCAAAGAAGACAGGAGGTTTAAGAGAGGGGTTCAGGAAGCCATCTTTGTTAACCAGGAAAAACCATCTCTCAGCAGAGGAGGTGGTCTGAGACACAACCTTTGACCTATTTCCAAAGCACTTTTAGGAACAATACCCAGAAGATGTATCTCTCACCTGCCTTCACCTGACTCACACATCAATGAGGCATGTGACCGAAACCACTGTGATGAGGGAGTTAATGACCTATCAGAACCCCCTAATGACCATTAACCCCCCAGGTGACCTCCTCGGCCAATCCAGTAGGAAGAATCAGAGACACCTTTGGTTCCCCTAATTCTTTCTTCCACCTACAGTTGATTAATCGTCGCACTCCCCACCTCTATTTTTGCGGACTGGAGACCCCAAAGGTCTTACTTACTTTCAGTCTGACTTACTGATTACTTCAAAGGAAGGTAAAATGTACAACTCTTTTGAACATTTAACCCTTAGTTTCCCTCATCAAAATTTCAAGGCAAGAAAACCTCTTCTTTTTGTAACTTTGTATCGTCCACCAGGTCCTTACTCTGAATGTTTAGATGAGTTTTCAGAGTTCCTTTCTGATTTGGTATTAAATACTGACAGGGTCATCATAGTGGGAGATTTTAACATCCATGCTGACATTGAAGGCGATAGCTTAAGAGCAGCCTTTAATGCTATCTTAGACACTATTGGCTTTGTTCAAAATGTGAATAGTCCCACACATTCTCATCTTCATACTTTGGATCTTGTGCTGACATACGGCATAGAATGTGAAGAAATAACAGTATTTCCTCACAACCCTATCCTCTCTGACCACTTTCTAATAACCTTCAGGATTACTTTAACAGAGTTCTCCTCCCCCAAAAGAAGGTTCAATTTTAGTAGATTCAATTCAGTTTATTTATATAGCGCCAAATTCACAACACATGTCATCTCAAGGCACTTTACAGTTCAACCAGATCATACAGTCAAATTGATACAAAGTTTTCTATCTAAGGGAAACCAGTTGATTGCATCGACTCATTGACTCTTCAGCAATCCCTCACACTAAGCATGCTTATAGCGACAGTGGAGAGGAAAAACTCCCTTTGAACAGAAAGAAACCTCCAGCAGAACCAGGCTCAGTGTGAGCGGCCATCTGCTGAGGCCCACTGGGGTTCAAGGAGACAGAAGCAGACATAGAAAAAGAAGCATAGATACAAAAGGCAACTGTCAACCAGCTCCACAGGCGGCCCCGTCCAGGAAACACACAGCCAGGCAGACGAGCTCCGAGCCAGCTCCCATGTCAGAGGATGAAGAGAGCACATCCAGTTAGTCACAGTCAGAGAAACAGGACTACACTGGACTACATCTTGCATGCTTGCATGAATCATGCAGTGTGTGTGGATCTTTAATGCTTGCATAATTCATGCTGTGTTTGTGGATCTTGTATGCTTGCGTGAATCATGCTGTGTGTGAATCTTGTATGCTTGCATGATTCATGCTGCGTGTGTGTGGATCTTGTATGCTTGAGTGAATCGAGCTGTTTGTATGGATCTTGTATGCTTGTGTGAATCATGCTGTGTGTGTGGATCATGTATGCTTGCATGAATCATGCAGTGTGTTTTGATCTTTAATGCTTGTGTGAATCATGGTGTGTGTGTGGATCTTTTATGCTTGCATGAATCATGCTGTGTGTGGGAATCTTGTATGCTTGCATGATTCATGCTGCCTGTGTGGGGATCTTGTATGCTTGAGTGAATCGAGCTGTGTGTGTGGTTCTTGTGTGTGTGTGAATCGTGCTGTGTGTGTATGGATCATGTATGTTTGTGTGAATCATGCTGTCAGTCTGTGGATCTTGTAGGCTTGTGTGAATCGTGCTGTGTGTGTGGATCTTGTAAGTGTATGTTTTTCATGCTGTGATTGTGTGGATTTTGTATGCTTGCGTGAATTGTGTTGTGTGTGTGGATCTTGTAAGTTTGCATGAATTGTGCTGTGTGTGTGGATTTTGTATTCTTGTGTGAAGTGTGCTGTGTGTGTGGATCTAGTATGCTTTCGTGAATTGTGCTGTGTGTGTGTAGATCTTGTAAGTTTACGTGAATTGTGCTGTCTGTGTGTGGATCTTGTATGCTTGCATGAATCGTGCTGTGTGTGTGGATCTTGTATGCTTGCGTGAATCATGCCGTGTGTGTGTCAATTTTGTATGCTTGCGTGATTCGTGTTGTGTGTGGATCTTGTAAGTTTGCATGAATTGTTCTGTGTGTGTGGATTTTGTATTCTTGCGTGAAGTGTGCTGTGTGTGGATCTAGTATGCTTGCGTGAATCATGCTGTGGGTGTGTAGATCTTGTAAGTTTACGTGAATTTTGCTGTCTGTGTGTGGATTTTGTATGCTTGCATGAATTGTGCTGTGTGTGTGGATCTTGTATGCTTGTATGAATCATGCCGTGTGTGTGTCAATTTTGTATGCTTGTGTGAATCGTGCTGTCAGTGTTTGTGGATATTGTATGCTTGCGTGAATCGTGCTGTGTGTGGATTTTGTATGCTTGCGTGAATCATGCTCTGTGTGTGGATCTTGTATGCTTGCGTGAATGGTGCTGTGGGTGGATCTTGTAAGTTTGCGTGAATCGTGCTGTGTGTGTATGTGGATTTTGTATTCTTGCGTGAATCGTGCTGTCTGTGTGTGGATCTTGTATGCCTGCATGAATCGTGCTGTGTGTGGATCATGTATGTTTGCTAGATTTGTGCTGTGTGTGTGTGTGTGGATCTTGCATGCTTGCTTGAATCGAAATGTTTGTGTGGATCTTGTATGCTTGCATGAATGGTGCTGTGTGTGTGTGGATCTTGTATGCTTGCGTGCTATGTGGATTTTGTGCTATGTGGATTTGTGCTATGTGGATTTTTCTTGTGCATGTATGAATCACATATGCATATTTGTGAAAACCGAGACCGATCTAACTCCATCATTTCCCACTTGAAATGAGAGACTACTGCTTTTCTCATTTTAAATGTTAATCATCTTCTCACCTGATCAATTCAAGAAAACTCCACTTCTTTTAAGAAAAGTTAACTCAGATTTGAATGTTTTGCTGTTTTCTTTTTCTCATAACTTTGCAAACATCTGTCATGTTGGGGTGTCATATGAAGAATTTAGAGCTTAACATTGAGGTGTGTGAATACTTTCCTGATAGACTAGAGTTTATTTTTTCCTGGTTTATATTTTGCTCAGTCCTTGTTCAACAATTATCCAGTTCAGGGTGTTTAAACATGTGAAAAAAGCGAACTGACAGAAGATCTAAGAAACGCGTGTTGGTATGAAGAGCAAAGGGACTAGGAGCCTGTCGTCTCACAGGGACACTTGCTCATCTGGGAGTGTGTGGGCAGCTGACCCCCGCAGCAGCCTTACATAACATCCTGTCTGAATGCTGCACATTCCGGGAGGCAATCAGGCAGCCTGGCAACAGCAACACAAGCTCCTCCTGCACCCCCCCCCCCCCCCTACACATACACATCAACTAACCAGGAGACACGTCCCAAACAGGGAGCTGTCCCAGATGTGAACAATAGCAGAAGGTCTAACTGGACCTACTGAGGTCCTGGTGAGGTAACGTGGAAACCTCCACCTTCACCCTGGTTATATATCTATTTATAGTCCATGAAGTGAAATATTTAAATAAACCTTTATGAAATGCAGAGACAACTGTAGTCGGTAGATGCCAGCTGAGTGTTTATGGTTCTGGTGGCGTCCTTCAGCCTCTTTGCTCTGTCTGTTTCCCACAGACTGTTTCATCTGAGAAGAAGGACACCGATGAACAAGACTTGAAAGAGACTGAAAATCACAACTCTGTCACCATGGAAACAGACATACCATCAACGCTGGAGATGGACTGTGAAATGGAGGGAGCCGAGCATGAAATGGATTTTAGTGCTTGTGATAAGCTAGCTGGGTTACAGGCGGACGTCTCAGACTCTCAGGAAGTTAAGGAACAATTAAGTCCAAGCAGCACCAGGCATGTCGATGACAGCCCCTTCTCTGAAACCAGACCAGGCACCTGTGAAGATGAGAAAAAGACCGAAGAGCTCAACAGAAATGAGTCCCTGAACTCATCTGTGTCTGATACCCTTTCCAGTGCTGACAGTGTTTATGAGAACGAGGCCCATCGTAGGAGGCAAGACACACAAGAGAAAGACACTGAGCAGGAGAATGAGTCAGAGCAACATGTGGGGCACGAAGGAGTGCCTGAGCCTGAGCGATATCCAGAGCCAGAGGAAGACTGGGGGGTGGGAGATGTGTTGCACAAAGAAGCCGAACCAGAGAATGAGGAAGACTGTGGGGTGGGGGACGTGTTGCAGAGAGAAGCTGAACCAGATCCAGAGGAAGACTGGGGAGTGGGGAACATGTTCCAGAGAAAAGCTGAACCAGAGACTGAGGAAGACTGTGGGGTGGGGGACGTGTTGCAGAGAGAAGTTGAACCAGAGACTGAGGAAGACTGTGGGGTGGGGGACGTGTTGCAGAGAGAAGCTGATCCAGAGACTGAGGAAGACTGTGGGGTGAGGGACGTGCTGCAGAAAGATGCTGAACCGGAGCCTGAGGAAGACTGGGGGGTGGGGGACATGTTGCAAAGACAAGCTGAACCAGAGACTGAGGAAGAAACTGAGAGGCTAATTAACCCTGAGCTTCACCAAGACCTTCCACTTGAAGATGACCCTGAGGATCAGGATCCTCAACTGGAGCTGTACGGAGAACTCGGACCAGAGGGAGGAGATATTATTGATTTAGATGATGAGTCCTACACACATCTAGCCGAATATACAGATGAAGGTCCAGATGTTGATGAAATACTGTTTGACCAGCCTTTTCATGAGGAGTCTCCCTTAGAGCAGTGCATAAGAGAGGAGGCCATGTCAGATGTTTCCAATGAGTCCTACCATAACCCGGAAGACATCGATGAATGTTTGAGAGTGGAGATTGCGGCGGCTTCATCAGATAGTGATACAGATGAAAAGTGGAGAGCTATTTTCTCCTCCTCCATAAATAAAGAAGACGATGACTCATATTTGGATAGTCTGCAGCTGAGTGCCCAGGAACTTTTTGTCCAGAAAATTGACGAGACAGACTACAATGACCCAGAGAGGACCAACTTTGAAGAGGCAATTAGTATTGAGGTCCCAAAAGTGTCTGAAGTCTTGGAACAACCGGGGATTGTAACCTGCTCCCCGACACCCCCGCATGAGGTTAAATACAGCCCATTCAGCCTTCAAGGTTTGTCAAAAATATCGGAAGACGAGAGTGAAAGTTACAGAGATGTCAACCATAACCACTCGAAATCCCAAGACGACGGCAGTGTGGACGCAGTCAAGAGGCTGCCCAAAGACTTCTGTGTCATTCAGGAGACAAAGAGTGAAAACGTCAGTACAGAACATGTGGACTTCCAGCTTGCTCGCAAGCAGTGGCGAGAAATGGAGAAGCAAATGAAAAATAAGATTGTCATACCTTCGAGCAGGCAGTCAAACCTTCACAGCAGCCACAGCTTCATGTACACCCCAGTCCGACACATTGAAAGAACCCCTAAGAAGGCACGGGATCTAGAGAGTTTGAACCTGGTCACGGATTATTCCCACACACAATTCAGCCCTTGCTCAGAGGACTCTGGCCTGGATGATTCCAGCTATAGGTCCCCTTATGATGACGCCGAAACACCAATCGAAAGGGAGATTCGTATATCCATGGAGAGGGAAGAAAACTTAAAAAGGGAAAGGGGACTATCCAGAATGGGCAAATCAACTGACTGCGCTCCATCAAGAAGCATCCCTCGATCCATTAGTACTCCACTCACTCCGTCATTCATCATCACCTCATCACCAACTAATGAACCATCAAAGCAGGAAGTGTCTGCAAACAATGTTATAATCGTAGACCCAAGAAAAGACTTGGCATCCAGTCTAACGTTTGGCAAAGACAACGCGCCCTCTGGATCTGGAGAATGGTGCCCAGACGAAAACAGCTCCAATCTGATCATCCTGGAAACATCCAATCTGATCATTCGAAGTGCCTCTGACTTCTCCCTGAACAAAGGCTGTGACGAGCCCCAGGAAAAAATGTTCCTCAACAACCCCTTCTTCAAACTCCGTTCAAGAAGCACAATATCCTTGGTAGATGAAGAGATACGGTTGGTGAAGCAGAGGGAGGAAGAGCTCAGGAAGGAGAGGGCAACCCTATATGGGAAAGACATGTTTGGCACGGAAACTGGCCTGGCAAATCACATGGACACTTTGTCATTTGATACCTCAGGTATGTCAATAAGATTCTCCACACGTCACATCGTCTGTAACGTTTCACTTCCTCTTTCCTGAATCATTTGTTTGATCTGATTTTTAGGTATTGTACCCGTTAAGTGCAAGTCCTCTCCATCATCCCCGATGAAAACCCCCCACAGGATGGATCGCTCTGCCTTATCCTGTGACCACAGGGTAAGTTTGTCTCTAAGGGATTGCTGTTGACATCCCATCCAACACAACAAACTGGTTTGGTCCCATGAGTGTTGGCCTAGTGGTTAGAGCAGTTAGCTGTGCTCTGAGAAGGTTGCAAGTACCCGGTTCAATCCCGACAGCCTCCACTCTGGATTCCAAAGCGAGAACCTTAACCCCACACTGCAGCCCACTGCTCCCCAAGGGAATGGGTTAAATGCAGAGTGATTGTGGGAAAATAAAGGGATTCACACGATTGAAACCATCCCTCTTCTCTCTCATTTAGCAACACTTATATGCAGAGAAAGCCTGGAAATACATTGTAGCTTCAGTCTTTGTCATCTCTGTCTGTTTGCTGTTAGAGGAACAGTTGTAGCATAATCCAGAATTACAGTAGGATTAAAATCCCTGACTGCTGCCGCTGTCAAAGAGCTATAAGCAGATAGACTAGATACATTACAGGGATATACGTACAGGTCCTTCTCAAAAATATTAGCAAATTGTGATAAAGTTAACTATCCTCCATAATGTATTCATAAAACTTGAACATTCATATATTTTATATTAGACTGAAATATTTCAGGTCCTTTATTGTCTTCATACGGATGATTTTGGCAGACAGCTCATGAAAACCCAAAATTCCTATCTCACAAAATTTGCATATTTCATCCGACCAATAAAAGAAAGGTGTTATTAATACAAAAAAGTCAACCTTTAAATAAATCTGTACAGTTATGCACTCAATACTTGGTGGGGAATCCTTTTGTAGAAATGACTGCTTCAATGCGGCGTGGCATGGAGGCAATCAGCCTGTGTCTCTGCTGAGGTGTCATGGAGGCCCACGATGCTTCCATAGCGTTTAGCCTTTAGCTCATCCACAGTGTTGGGTCTTGTGTCTCTCAAATTTCTCTTCACAATATCCCACAGATTCTCTATGGGGTTCAGGTCAGGAGAGTTGGCAGGCCAATTGAGCCTAGTGATACCAGTAAACCATTTACCAGTGGCTTTGGCTCTGTGAGCAGGTGCCAGGTCGTCTTCATCTCCATAAAGCTTTTCAGCAGATGGGAGCATGAAGTGCTCCAGACTCTCCTGATAGCTGCATTGACCCTGGCCTTGATAAAACCCAACTTCAGCAGCTGACATGTGTTGTGGGAAAAGAATATTCCACTATTCACCCTAGTTAAATAAACAGAGTTCAATGGATTTCACTCAGTCGGCACATTTATTCATATCTTTGCAAAGAGAGAACAGTTCATCATACAGCCCTCCTGGCATAGTATTCAGCCCTGTTCTGCCTGGGCAGCGTTCTTTCCTCCTTACTTACAACAATGGAAAAGTAGTCAGAGTCAAAACAAATTACAGACACTTTGGTGAAACTGTAACATGTTATGAATAAACCTTGAGAAAGAATCTGGTTTGTTATGGGAATAAGCTATTTCTGGTCTACAAACACCATCCAACTGAGAATAGTTCGGCCTTCAGAGAGAAACAGACTGAGTGAAAACTTTTATAGTGAGTAAATAGGATAAATTAATATATAATAGAGAAATCTAAATTTTCCGACAACACATGGCACCCCAGACCATCACTGACTGTGGGTACTTGACACTGGACTTGTGGCGTTTCCTTCTCCCCAGTCTTCCTCCAGACTCTGGCACCTTGATTTCCAAATGACGTGTAAAGCTGAGCTACAGTCCAGAGCTGCTTCTCTGTAGCCCAGGTCAGGCTCCTCTGCTGCTGTTTCTGGTTCAAAAGTGGCTGACCTGGGGAATGCGGCACCTGTAGCCCATTTCCTGCCCATGCCTGTGCTCGGTGGCTCTGGATGTTTCTACTCCAGACTCAGTCCACTGCTTCCACAGGTCCCCCAAGGTCTGGAATGGGCCCTTCTCCACAATCTTCCTCAGGGTCCGGTCGCCTCTTCTGGTTTTGCAGCGGTTTCTGCCTCTTTTTCCTTCCCACTGAGGTGCCTTGATACAGCAGCACTCTGGGAACAGCCTATTGGTTCAGAAATATCTTTCTGTGTCATAGCCTCTGGCTGAGGGGGTCAATGACGGCCTTCTGGACAGCAGGCAGGTCGGCAGTCTGACCCATCATTGGGGTCTGAGTGATGAACCAGGCTGGGAGTTTTAAAGGCCTCAGGAATCTTTTGCAGGTGTTTAGAGTTCATTTGTTGATTCAGATCATTAGGTGCAAAGTTCATTTAGAGATCTTTTTCATGATATGCTAATTTTGTGAGATAGGAATTTCAGGAATAAAAGACCTGAAATATTTCAGTTAGTGTGTAATGAATCTAAAATATATGAATGTTCAAGTTTTGTCATTACATTATAGTAAATAATGAACTTTATCACAATCTGCTAATATTTTGAGGAGGACATGTACAACCACATGAGCAACTGGGCTAGTACAGCTAGCAAGCAAGAATTTATAATGACATGTTTAAGGAAGCAGTGAGTTGGAGCTACATCATTTGTAGATGAGATGGAGGAACTGGAGCTAAAACATCTCCAGTGGGTTATGATAAAGATCACAACGTGCTGCACAGGGATTAAAAGCCATGAAAGGACAACAAATCAACCACTTTGGCTCCTGAGGGATGGTTTCAGCCATTCTTCTCATTAAAGGTATGAAAGAGGATTTTTCTCAGAAAATAAGTGTCCAACCTCCACTAGAACCAGAACCAGGCTCAGTTTGAGAGGCCAACTGCTGAGTCCGGGACAAGAACTGCAGATTTTAGTAGGATTATAATCCTGATGAACTGATGAACAGAGGATGTTTGGAGGTGGACTTTCTCACTTAAAAACATCCGTCCATCCATTCATTATCTGACACGCTTGTCCTGGGTGGGATCGCGAGGGGTGCCTATCTCCAGCAGTCAATGGGCGAGAGGCGGGGCCCATCCTGGACAGGTCGCCAGTCTATTGCAGGGTAACACAGAGACAAACAGGACAAACAACCATTCACACACACTCCTAAGGAGGATTTAGACAAGTCAATTAACCTAACAGTCATGTTTTTGGACTGTGGGAGGAAGCCTGAGTACCTGGAGAGAACCCACGCATGCTCAGGGAGAACATGCAAACTCCATGCAGAAAGACCACGGGCTGGGAATCACTTAAAAACATGTTAAATCTATGTTTGCAACTCATAGATTAAATAAAGCCAAGCTGCCCTCTAGCCTGAAGCTACAGAACATAACAGATAAACAACCAGAGCGTTGAAGCTTCAAAGCAACTCGTGTTCCAATCTCCCTGTTTAAGCTTTTTTGATGCCTAAAACTTGTTGGTTGATAATGCACCTTTACCCTGTCGAAAGCCATAAGAAAAACATTCTAAGTTTCCTCATTTACTTCAAAGACACACAGTCTGTAATCCTCAGTTTGACCAACCTTGATGCTCCTCTGGATCAAAAACTTCCTTTATCATCTCAAGCCTCCTAAACTCAGAGGAAGCTGGTTATCCTCTCTGGTCTGCAGCCGGAAAACAGTAGCTGAATCTAAACACCCCATTACTCTCAAATTCCATGTGAATTAAAATAAGCACAGTTCCCAATCTATAAATTGGAAATACAATTGTTTGTATTCATATAACAGAAAGGCATTGAAGAATATTTTTCAGGTGGAATCACTATTTTAAATGTCACCATGTATGATTAATAGGTGGTTAAAAAAAGAAAAATATTTAAATATATTTAAGGAAATCTCCCTCTGTCTTTCAGTTTCCTGAGGCCTTTACGGCGGGGAGGCGGAAGAGTGCCATGGCTCTGCGCTGGGAGGCAGGCGAGTTCACCAAGAACAACTGACCCGGAACAAGCTGCCGTTCTGCTGTTCCGCCACTAGAGGGCCACAGTGGATGTTTTTATTCAAGTTTAAATGCTTTTATTATTGTCATTTGTTTCATGTTGTGTCATAACCTAAACTCTGCTTTTGTGATGCTGTAAAAAAAAAAAAAACAATCAAAAAAAACAACGAGAGCGTTTAACAGTGGAACTGTTAAATGTTTAACTTTGCTTTTGTACAGTTTATGAAATGAGTTAGAAATGATCCAGGCTTCAGCTAAAGTTCCAGCCTTTCTTCTCCTAACAGTACAGATCTGCCATTGTGGCACGACTCCTGAATCAGCAGAGGACGACAGACGACTGAACGCGTTTCTTTAAAGTTTGATGATCACAATAATTTCCTACTGATCTAGAGACGAAAGGGCTTAAAAACAGTTTAGAGTCCCTTAAAGACATTAGTTCTTTCTGTAGGGAAGACGGCATCTGCTAGAAAGCTCCAATTCCCCTAAACTTCCAGTTTCTAACATTTAATCTCCTCACTTTCACAAAGCATCAAGTTTAATTCTGGTCGAATAAAAGGCACCTTTCTTGGAACCAAACAATTTTTAAAAGAATATAAAAATATCAGGATCAGATTGTTTTTGTACTTAAATTAAAGATTTTGTCATTTGATATGTAAAACATTTATCACTGATAAAGAGAAGGATAAATACTTAATCTTTGAGATTTTAGAAACATTTTTTATAAATTTGTCCCAGATATTTAAAAAATAAAACTCAGGCAACCCTCTGGTCACCTAAATCCCTCTCAACCTTCCCTGGCTGAGTGTAACAGGGTCCCAAACCGCCACCAGGTTTCCTGCTGTAATGACAACAGAGAAATTATTATTTGAAATGATCGGAAATGTTGAGTTGAGGTCAAAGTTAGATGCAGCAAATATAAAACAAGATGGCTCCTGGATGCAAGTCCCTCCATTTCCTACCAAACAGCTTCCTATGTGTATTCACTGTTACCGTGGTGACAGAACTGTTACCATGGTGACGCATGGCTTGGCAGTAGGCCTTTGAATATTTCGTATTTACACAATAACTACTCTTCTAGCATGTATCTTTAAACCCTTTTAGCTTAGCATGAGGCACTGTGTGGGTCAGTGAGCAGCCTGTTGATCTAATAATCTTTTAGTAAGCCCTTCAGAGGTTAGCCTGGATGGATAGATAGCAGGGCTGGATGGACAGCTAGCAGGGCTGGATGGACAGATAGCACGGCTGGATGGACAGCTAGCAGGGCTGGATAGACAGCTAGCAGGGCTGGATGGACAGCTAGCAGGGCTGGATGGACAGCTAGCAGGGCTGGATGGACAGCTAGCAGGGCTGGATAGACAGCTAGCAGGGCTGGATGGACAGCTAGCAGGGCTGGATGGACAGATAGCAGGGCTGGATGGACAGATAGCAGGGCTGGATGGACAGATAGCAGGGCTGGATGGACAGATAGCAGGGCTGGATGGACAGCTAGCAGGGCTGGATGGACAGCTAGCAGGGCTGGATAGACAGCTAGCAGGGCTGGATGGACAGCTAGCAGGGCTGGATGGACAGATAGCAGGGCTGGATGGACAGATAGCAGGGCTGGATGGACAGATAGCAGGGCTGGATGGACAGATAGCAGGGCTGGATGGACAGCTAGCAGGGCTGGATGGACAGATAGCACGGCTGGATGGACAGCTAGCAGGGCTGGATAGACAGCTAGCAGGGCTGGATGGACAGCTAGCAGGGCTGGATGGACAGCTAGCAGGGCTGGATGGACAGCTAGCAGGGCTGGATGGACAGATAGCAGGGCTGGATGGACAGCTAGCAGGGCTGGATGGACAGCTAGCAGGGCTGGATAGACAGCTAGCAGGGCTGGATGGACAGCTAGCAGGGCTGGATGGACAGCTAGCAGGGCTGGATGGACAGATAGCACGGCTGGATGGACAGCTAGCAGGGCTGGATAGACAGCTAGCAGGGCTGGATGGACAGATAGCAGGGCTGGATGGACAGATAGCATTGCTGGATGGGCAGCTAGCAGGGCTGGATGGGCAGCTAGCAGGGCTGGATGGACAGATAGCAGGGCTGGATGGACAGATAGCAGGGCTGGATGGACAGATAGCAGGGCTGGATGGACAGCTAGCAGGGCTGGATGGACAGATAGCAGGGCTGGATGGACAGCTAGCAGGGCTGGATGGACAGATAGCAGGGCTTGATGGACAGATAGCATTGCTGGATGGGCAGCTAGCAGGGCTGGATGGACAGATAGCAGGGCTGGATGGACAGATAGCAGGGCTGGATGGACAGCTAGCAGGGCTGGATGGACAGATAGCAGGGCTGGATGGACAGCTAGCAGGGCTGGATGGACAGCTAGCAGGGCTGGATGGACAGATAGCAGGGCTGGATGGACAGCTAGCAGGGCTGGATGGACAGCTAGCAGGGCTGGATGGACAGCTAGCAGGGCTGGATGGACAGCTAGCAGGGCTGGATGGACAGATAGCAGGGCTGGATGGACAGCTAGCAGGGCTGGATGGATAGATAGCAGGGCTGGATGGACAGCTAGCAGGGCTGGATGGACAGCTAGCAGGGCTGGATGGACAGATACCAGGGCTGGATGGACAGATAGCATTGCTGGATGGGCAGCTAGCAGGGCTGGATGGACAGATAGCAGGGCTGGATGGACAGATAGCAGGGCTGGATGGACAGATAGCAGGGCTGGATGGACAGATAGCAGGGCTGGATGGACAGCTAGCAGGGCTGGATGGACAGATAGCATTGCTGGATGGGCAGCTAGCAGGGCTGGATGGACAGATAGCAGGGCTGGATGGACAGATAGCAGGGCTGGATGGACAGATAGCAGGGCTGGATGGACAGCTAGCAGGGCTGGATGGACAGATAGCAGGGCTGGATGGACAGATAGCAGGGCTGGATGGACAGCTAGCAGGGCTGGATGGACAGCTAGCAGGGCTGGATGGACAGATAGCAGGGCTGGATGGACAGCTAGCAGGGCTGGATGGACAGCTAGCAGGGCTGGATGGACAGATAGCAGGGCTGGATGGACAGCTAGCAGGGCTGGATGGACAGCTAGCAGGGCTGGATGGACAGATAGCAGGGCTGGATGGACAGCTAGCAGGGCCGGATGGACAGATAGCAGGGCTGGATGGACAGATAGCAGGGCTGGATGGACAGCTAGCAGGGCTGGATGGACAGATAGCAGGGCTGGATGGACAGATAGCAGGGCTGGATGGACAGCTAGCAGGGCTGGATGGACAGCTAGCAGGGCTGGATGGACAGCTAGCAGGGCTGGATGGACAGATAGCAGGGCTGGATGGACAGATAGCATTGCTGGATGGGCAGCTAGCAGGGCTGGATGGACAGATAGCAGGGCTGGATGGACAGATAGCAGGGCTGGATGGACAGTTAGCAGGGCTGGATGGACAGATAGCATTGCTGGATGGGCAGCTAGCAGGGCTGGATGGACAGATAGCAGGGCTGGATGGACAGATAGCAGGGCTGGATGGACAGATAGCAGGGCTGGATGGACAGTTAGCAGGGCTGGATGGACAGATAGCAGGGCTGGATGGACAGATAGCATTGCTGGATGGACAGATAGCAGGGCTGGATGGACAGCTAGCAGGGCTGGATGGATAGATAGCAGGGCTGGATGGACAGATAGCAGGGCTGGATGGACAGCTAGCAGGGCTGGATGGACAGATAGCAGGGCTGGATGGACAGATAGCATTGCTGGATGGGCAGCTAGCAGGGCTGGATGGACAGATAGCAGGGCTGGATGGACAGATAGCAGGGCTGGATGGACAGATAGCAGGGCTGGATGGACAGTTAGCAGGGCTGGATGGACAGATAGCAGGGCTAGATGGACAGATAGCATTGCTGGATGGGCAGCTAGCAGGGCTGGATGGACAGATAGCAGGGCTGGATGGACAGATAGCAGGGCTGGATGGACAGATAGCAGGGCTGGATGGACAGATAGCATTGCTGGATGGGCAGCTAGCAGGGCTGGATGGACAGATAGCAGGGCTGGATGGACAGGTAGCAAGGCTGGATGGACAGATAGCAGGGCTGGATGGACAGATAGCAGGGCTGGATGGACAGCTAGCAGGGCTGGATGGATAGATAGCAGGGCTGGATGGACAGATAGCAGGGCTGGATGGACAGCTAGCAGGGCTGGATGGACAGATAGCATTGCTGGATGGACAGATAGCAGTGATCCATATAGTGATCCATACAGTGATTCGTTCAGTGATCCATATGGTGATCTATACAGTGATTCGTTCAGTGATCCGTTCAGTGATCCATATGGTGATCTATACAGTGATTCGTTCAGTGATCCGTTCAGTGATCCATATGGTGATCCATACAGTTATCGGAACTGTAATTGGATTGCTGCGTTACCAGCTGCCCACTGAGAATCAGTTATGATTCACCTTAGTTGATTTTTGTTTATTGCTATAGCGCCATTTACAACCTATCCAGCCTGAAGGCCCTTTATAATCATCCAGTCAGAGGGTCAAACGTTTTCTATCAAAGAAAGAGCAGCGGTCTGCATCCAGTCACTGACTGGTTGGCGCTGCTAGACTTAGCCGGCGATGAAGTGAGGCAGTCAGAGCATCAGCGGGAACAAATCCTGCCTTTATTCATGCCTGTAGAAGCGCTGCTGTTCCACTGACATACTCTACCAGAGAGCTGAGAGAGGATCTGGAAAAGACAGATCTATAACCTGATCCTGTTAATGAGTAACAGATTAATTGAATCTAAAGGTCACCATAAAGTGTGACGACACCTGTGGCGTTAGAGGTCTCTGATTAGAAGGCCCAGGGTCGCCACCGCCATGCTAATCACCTCTGATAAACATAAAGGAGCATAGCATGCAGCTAAAGCTCTATAAACATCCCGCTACGCAAACATAGCCATGCTAATCCGCCATTTTAACAGTCAGAGTAATACTGCTCCTGAATGAACTGAACGATTCAGTAAATGAGTCTTTCGAATGATTCAGTTCACTGAACAGAACTGCTGTCCCTAGCGCTGCTCCAGAGGGGATAATGGAACGTAACGGCTTACAGACCATGGCCTGATCTGCTCCTCTAGTTCTATGATGTGCATAATAATAGAAAACCCTACGGGCCTCTGTCTGTACACTCTACTTTGTTCATATCTGTGTAAAATCAACAACCTTGTCTTTCTGGCTAACTTTTCTACCTTTCCTTACCAACCAGACAATCTGATCTTTTTAATCCTCCCTCTTTGTGCATCCATGTGGGCCCCACCATGATCCGCCCTGCGTTCCTAAAAACCAGCTAGCTAAACCTGGAGCTGTCGAGCACAGGGGAGCGGCGGCGTGGCCATCAATGGGTGCATTATGGGTAGTGATGCATGTTCTGATCAGGAAGCTCTTCTTCTCTTTGAGCAATATGGCTACAGTGGTTAAACAGGAGGGTAGGTGGCGCCCCCTGTGGAGAACCTGCGTTTAATTTTCTGCTCTTTGCCCAAGGCGAGCTGACCCCTCCCTGCCGTCTCCCTGGGTTACCAGCGTTTCCTGTTAGCAGGGACCAGGGAGGACCTGGAACCCCTGGATGCTCCGTGGGTTTGGACTAGGCCAGCGACCTGATGCTGCTGCCGGGTGTCAGGACCCGCCCTCAGGTTCAAAGGGTTCAGCAATAAACATGGAGGAAGGTGGTGCTGCTGGAAGAAGCAGCTGCTTAGTTAAGGTCCTAATGTCCTAATCAAAGCTCCCCCACCATTCATGCACTGGTCCCCCAGGGGCCTCCGGTGGTTCCTGGTCCTCCTCACGGTTGAACCGTCTCTGAACCCTTTGCTGGCTGCTGCTGACATCCCTGAAGGTATCTCCATGTGATCTAGATCTATTCTTGCTAAGCTCTGTTTGCAAAGCTCTATTTTGGTGTGACTATTGTCTTGAGAAGCAAAATGCTGTATCATGTTGTTTTCTGTATATTCTCTGTATTTTTGTACGGTGCTTCAGCGGGGCGGACAGAGCATGCTGGAGGCTGAGGAGAACCTCTCGAACAGATGCTGATTGATTTAGAAGCTTTTTGTTCATCTATAAAGCACAACTATTAATAAAGGCCACTTTAAAGCACTTTAGTGGGAAGGAAACCAGTGTTCCCAACAGAGAGCACCATCAATTGATGGGAAAAACCCTGGATCTGAACTGGTTTCCTGTCAGAGCAACAGGACTGGACCTACTGGGAGGCTGAGGGTCACACACAGAGGGCTGGAGCTCCCGCTCCATCAGATGGACCAGCTGCTCCTTCAGATGGACCAGCTGCTCCTTCAGGTGGACCAGCTGCTCCTTCAGGTGGACCAGCTGCTCCTTCAGGTCCTTCAGGTGGACCAGCTGCTCCTTCAGATGGACCAGCTGCTCCTTCAGGTCCTTCAGGTGGACCAGCTGCTCCTTCAGATGGACCAGCTGCTCCTTCAGGTCCTTCAGGTGGACCAGCTGCTCCTTCAGATGGACCAGCTGCTCCTTCAGGTCCTTCAGGTGGACCAGCTGCTCCTTCAGATGGACCAGCTGCTCCTTCAGGTCCTTCAGGTGGACCAGCTGCTCCTTCAGGTGGACCAGCTGCTCCTTCAGGTGGACCAGCTGCTCCTTCAGATGGACCAGCTGCTCCTTCAGATGGACCAGCTGCTCCTTCAGGTCCTTCAGGTGGACCAGCTGCTCCTTCAGATGGACCAGCTGCTCCTTCAGATGGACCAGCTGCTCCTTCAGGTGGACCAGCTGCTCCTTCAGGTGGACCAGCTGCTCCTTCAGATGGACCAGCTGCTCCTTCAGATGGACCAGCTGCTCCTTCAGGTCCTTCAGGTGGACCAGCTGCTCCTTCAGGTGGACCAGCTGCTCCTTCAGGTGGACCAGCTGCTCCTTCAGGTGGACCAGCTGCTCCTTCAGGTCCTTCAGGTGGACCAGCTGCTCCTTCAGGTGGACCAGCTGCTCCTTCAGGTGGACCAGCTGCTCCTTCAGGTGGACCAGCTGCTCCTTCAGGTGGACCAGCTGCTCCTTCAGGTGGACCAGCTGCTCCTTCAGATGGACCAGCTGCTCCTTCAGGTCCTTCAGGTGGACCAGCTGCTCCTTCAGGTGGACCAGCTGCTCCTTCAGGTGGACCAGCTGCTCCTTCAGGTGGACCAGCTGCTCCTTCAGGTCCTTCAGGTGGACCAGCTGCTCCTTCAGATGGACCAGCTGCTCCTTCAGATGGACCAGCTGCTCCTTCAGGTGGACCAGCTGCTCCTTCAGGTGGACCAGCTGCTCCTTCAGGTGGACCAGCTGCTCCTTCAGATGGACCAGCTGCTCCTTCAGGTCCTTCAGGTGGACCAGCTGCTCCTTCAGGTGGACCAGCTGCTCCTTCAGGTGGACCAGCTGCTCCTTCAGGTGGACCAGCTGCTCCTTCAGGTCCTTCAGGTGGACCAGCTGCTCCTTCAGGTGGACCAGCTGCTCCTTCAGGTGGACCAGCTGCTCCTTCAGGTGGACCAGCTGCTCCTTCAGATGGAGCAGCTGCTCCTTCAGGTGGACCAGCTGCTCCGTCATGCTCAGCTTCAGCTGTTAGCGTGAGTTAGCCTAGATGCTTGTGGTCAGTAGAGCTCATTGATCTTCTGAAGCAGGACTGTTTGTTGGCCGTTTCTCCTGCTGTGTTTGAAGACGTTTGTGCATCAATCAATAAATAAAGTGAATGTGAAGACCCTAAGCTGGCTCCTCCTTCTCTGCTGAAACACCTCAAACAGGAGTTATAAATGGATGTGAGAGTATAGATATATGACAGTTAGATGGTGTATGTGAAAGTATAGATATATGAGAGTTAGATGATGGACGTGAGAGTATATATATATGAGAGTTAGATGATGTATGTGAGAGTATAGATATATGAGAGTTAGATGATGGACGTGAGAGTATAGATATATGAGAGTTAGATGATGGACGTGAGAGTATAGATATATGAGAGTTAGATGATGGACGTCAGAGTATAGATATATGAGAGTTAGATGATGTATGTGAGAGTATAGATATATGAGAGTTAGATGATGGACGTGAGAGTATAGATATATGAGAGTTAGATGATGGACGTGAGAGTATAGATATATGAGAGTTAGATGATGTATGTGAGAGTATAGATATATGAGAGTTAGATGATGGACGTGAGAGTATAGATATATGAGAGTTAGATGATGGACGTGAGAGTATAGATATATGAGAGTTAGATGATGTATGTGAGAGTATAGATATATGAGAGTTAGATGATGGACGTGAGAGTATAGATATATGAGAGTTAGATGATGGACGTGAGAGTATAGATATATGAGAGTTAGATGATGGACGTCAGAGTATAGATATATGAGAGTTAGATGATGTATGTGAGAGTATAGATATATGAGAGTTAGATGATGGACGTGAGAGTATAGATATATGAGAGTTAGATGATGGACGTGAGAGTATAGATATATGAGAGTTAGATGATGGACGTCAGAGTATAGATATATGAGAGTTAGATGATGTATGTGAGAGTATAGATATATGAGAGTTAGATGATGGACGTGAGAGTATAGATATATGAGAGTTAGATGATGGACGTCAGAGTATAGATATATGAGAGTTAGATGATGTATGTGAGAGTATAGATATATGAGAGTTAGATGATGTACGTGAGAGTATAGATATATGAGAGTTAGATGATGGACGTGAGAGTATAGATATATGAGAGTTAGATGATGGATGGGAGAGTATAGATATATGAGAGTTAGATGATGTACGTGAGAGTATAGATATATGAGAGTTAGATGATGGACGTGAGAGTATAGATATATGAGAGTTAGATGATGGATGGGAGAGTATAGATATATGAGAGTTAGATGACGTATGTGAGAGTATAGACATATGAGAGTTAGATGGTGTACGTGAGAGTATAGATATATGAGAGTTAGATGATGGATGTGAGAGTATAGATATATGAGAGTTAGATGATGGATGGGAGAGTATAAATATAATAGAGTCAGATGATGCATGTGAGAGTTAGATATATGAGAGTTAGATGATGCATGTCAGAGTATAGATATATGAGAGTCAGATGATGCATGTGAGAGTTAGATATATGAGAGTTAGATGATGCATGTCAGAGTATAGATATATGAGAGTCAGATGATGCATGTGAGAGTATAGATATATGAGAGTTAGATTATGTACGTGAAAGTATAGATATATGAGAGTTAGATGATGCATGTCAGAGTATAGATATATGAGAGTCAGATGATGCATGTGAGAGTTAGATATATGAGAGTTAGATGATGCATGTCAGAGTATAGATATATGAGAGTCAGATTATGCATGTGAGAGTATAGATATATGAGAGTTAGATGATGTACGTGAAAGTATAGATATATCCAATCCAATCCACTTTATTTAAATAGCACAGTTTAAATAAACACAAGGTTTCCAAAGTGCTGCACAAAAAGATAAAATAACAAAAATAAATAAAAGTAATAAAATAAAATAAAAGCACTGCCATATATATATATATATATATATATATATATATATATATATATATATATATATATATATATATATATATATATATATATATATATATATATATATATATATGCCATATATATATATAGATATATGAGAGTTAGATGATGGATTTGAGAGTATAGATATATGAGAGTTAGATAATGCATGTCAGAGTATAGATATATGAGAGTTAGGTGATGTATGTGAGAGTATAGATATATGAGAGTTAGATGATGCATGTGAGAGTATAGATATATGAGAGTTAGATGATGTACGTGAAGGTATAGATATATGAGAGTTAGATGATGGACGTGAAAGTATAGATATATGAGAGTTAGATGATGGATTTGAGAGTATAGATATATGAGAGTTAGATAATGCATATCAGAGTATAGATATATTAGAGTTAGATGATGAATGTGAGAGTATAGATATATGAGAGTTAGATGATGGATTTGAGAGTATAGATATATGAGAGTTAGATAATGCATGTCAGAGTATAGATATATTAGAGTTAGATGATGAATGTGAGAGTATAGATATATGAGAGTTAGATAATGCATGTCAGAGTATAGATATATTAGAGTTAGATGATGAATGTGAGAGTATAGATATATGAGAGTTAGATGATGGATGTGAGAGTATAGATATATGAGAGTTAGATTATGTACGTGAAAGTATAGATATATGAGAGTTAGATGATGTACGTGAAAGTATAGATATATGAGAGTTAGATGATGGATGTGAGAGTATAGATATATGAGAGTTAGATTATGTACGTGAAAGTATAGATATATGAGAGTTAGATGATGTACGTGAAAGTATAGATATATCCAATCCAATCCACTTTATTTAAATAGCACAGTTTAAATAAACACAAGGTTTCCAAAGTGCTGCACAAAAAGATAAAATAACAAAAATAAATAAAAGTAATAAAATAAAATAAAAGCACTGCCATATATATATATATATATATATATATATATATATATATATATATATATATATATATATATATATATATATATATATATATATATATATATATATATATATATATATATATATATATATATATATATATGCCATATATATATATAGATATATGAGAGTTAGATGATGGATTTGAGAGTATAGATATATGAGAGTTAGATAATGCATGTCAGAGTATAGATATATGAGAGTTAGGTGATGTATGTGAGAGTATAGATATATGAGAGTTAGATGATGCATGTGAGAGTATAGATATATGAGAGTTAGATGATGTACGTGAAGGTATAGATATATGAGAGTTAGATGATGGACGTGAAAGTATAGATATATGAGAGTTAGATGATGGATTTGAGAGTATAGATATATGAGAGTTAGATAATGCATGTCAGAGTATAGATATATTAGAGTTAGATGATGAATGTGAGAGTATAGATATATGAGAGTTAGATAATGCATGTCAGAGTATAGATATATTAGAGTTAGATGATGGATTTGAGAGTATAGATATATGAGAGTTAGATAATGCATGTCAGAGTATAGATATATTAGAGTTAGATGATGAATGTGAGAGTATAGATATATGAGAGTTAGATAATGCATGTCAGAGTATAGATATATTAGAGTTAGATGATGAATGTGAGAGTATAGATATATGAGAGTTAGATGATGGATGTGAGAGTATAGATATATGAGAGTTAGATTATGTACGTGAAAGTATAGATATATGAGAGTTAGATGATGTATGTGAAAGTATAGATATATGAGAGTTAGATGATGTACGTGAAAGTATAGATATATCCAATCCAATCCACTTTATTTAAATAGCACAGTTTAAATAAACACAAGGTTTCCAAAGTGCTGCACAAAAAGATAAAATAACAAAAATAAATAAAAGTAATAAAATAAAATAAAAGCACTGCCATATATATATATATATATATATATATATATATATATATATATATATATATATATATATATATATATATATATATATATATATATATATATATATATATATGCCATATATATATATAGATATATGAGAGTTAGATGATGGATTTGAGAGTATAGATATATGAGAGTTAGATAATGCATGTCAGAGTATAGATATATGAGAGTTAGGTGATGTATGTGAGAGTATAGATATATGAGAGTTAGATGATGCATGTGAGAGTATAGATATATGAGAGTTAGATGATGTACGTGAAGGTATAGATATATGAGAGTTAGATGATGGACGTGAAAGTATAGATATATGAGAGTTAGATGATGGATTTGAGAGTATAGATATATGAGAGTTAGATAATGCATGTCAGAGTATAGATATATTAGAGTTAGATGATGAATGTGAGAGTATAGATATATGAGAGTTAGATGATGGATTTGAGAGTATAGATATATGAGAGTTAGATAATGCATGTCAGAGTATAGATATATTAGAGTTAGATGATGAATGTGAGAGTATAGATATATGAGAGTTAGATGATGGATGTGAGAGTAATAATAATAATAATAATACATTTTATTTCAAGCGCCTTTCAAAACACTCAAGGTCACTGTACATGTAAAAACAATAAATGGTAAAAAGCTGTCGTCATAATTAAAAGAAACAACACAAATTACACAGAGGAAAGTAATATAAAATCATAATGAAAAGGCAATCTTGAACATGTGGGTTTTTGGGTTGTTTGGATTTTGAATAGGGGTTAAAGACTCGGTTTTTGCAGATGTCAGAGGGGAAGAGAATTCCAGAGTGTGGGCGCAGAACGTGAAAAAGCTCTGCTCCTCATGGTTTTAAAAACGGGCTGAAGGAACAACTAAGTGAGTGGTAGAAGAAGATTCTAAGAGTGCGGAGGGAGTAAGTAAATTTGAAGTAAATCAGAAAGGTATGGATGGGAGAGATTGTGAATAACTTTAAAAGTAAGTAGGAGGATTTTGAACTGAATTTATACTTCACCAGGTAGCCATGGAGCTGCTGCAGGACTGGGGTGATGTGATGAAAAGAAGGGGTTCTAGAAATGATGCGA